AGATTGAGGAGGGGAGAATGGAAGTCTTGGGGGAGAGAGGTGAGGATTGGGGGCTTCCTAAGCCTGCAAAGGTCACACTGACACACAGATGAGCCAAAACGAAGTCAATCACTCCCCTCCCCCTTGTTTTCTGGGCCACCATTCAGGCCCTTTTAATAAGGAGTCCGTAGGGAGCCCAGGAAAGGAATGTGGGCAGGACCGGGCAGAGTACTGAGAGAAAAACCGATTAAAGAAAGTGAAAAGAGGCTTAGAGACCCATCCAGGGGGCCTGGGAGGGAAGCCAAGGCTGGGCAGCACTGTGGAAGCGAGAAATGAACTTTTCCCAGAAGGGTGGCCAGCCCAGGGAGAGGAGGACAAGATGTCTGTCCAGCTCGTCTTCCCTGAGCTTCGTCTCCTTCGCCAGGGTCCAGAGGAGAGCGGGCATCTTCTAGAATCAGAGCCCTTCCCCTCCCACCCTTCTCTGCTCCTCTTACTCCGTACTGACCATTAAACCCAGATGCCACCCATTATCCCAAAGGCTACCTTGGGCAAGCTGCTTCCCCTCGCTGAGCCTGTTTCCTTCTCTGGAAGCCAAGGCAGGTGGGCAGGATGCTTTCAAAGGTCCCTTTCAAAGGACCTGTCAAAAAGACATCTCCACTCCAAATATTCACAGGTGTCCAACCTGTGGCAGAGCATTCTGAACTCGTATTGGTCTGACCAGCCAGAGTCAGACACACCGTACCTTGACCCCAACATAGTGATGCCATTTTGGTCCTCTTAGGACCAAAACAAAGGACTGCAACCATACCTGTCAAAAGAAAGTGACTTCTACCTGAAAAGCCAGGGAGAATAGATGCGCATACAGGCTGTGTGAGGGGTAGGGGTTTTCAGGTGTGTGAAGTTAGAATTTAGAACGTGAGGCCTGGAAGGGGCCTTGGCGATCAGGCAGTCCAACCCCTTTGTTTTACAGAAGAAGAGCCTGAAGTTCAGAGAGGGACAGGGATTTGCTTAAGTTGCCCAGGTGGTAGGTCACGAATGAATACGCTCCCAGACTCTCAATCTTGTGCTTTTGGTAGTTTTTTGTTTTTGATTTTGCTGTCATACTGTCTCTAGACCAAAGTTCTCCCAAATCTAGTTGAAGGGAGAAGCACCATGGACTAAAGGTTGACACAGGCCACGTCAGTTTGTAATCAAGCCAGCTTTGGAACGGCCCACTGGACAGCTGATTTGGGAAACTGGAATTTAACGGGGGAGGGGAAAAGAGTTCATCTTTAACTTCAGGGTTAGAAGAAGTGAAATGGAAAAAAGTATTAGACTTGACCAGTGTCAAATTCCAGATCTGACACTTACTAGCTGTGTGACCCTGGGTAAGTCTCTTCACCTTCTCTATAAAAGTACATGGTCGGCAGTGTGGTACAGTGGAATGAGTGTTGGATTTGGAGTCAGAAGCCCTGAGTTCAAATCCTGTCTCTGTGTAACCTTGGGCAAGTCATTTAAAAAAAAGCAACACCTCTTTAGGCCTCAGTTTCCTCATCTGTAAGAATAAGGTTCTTTTCACCTCTATGTGGGTGGACTAGATGGTCTCTTGGACCCCCTTCATTTTTCATATTCTAAATTCCAACCTCCAAGTTTGCAATTCCACCAACAATGAATGAATTCGCCTGTTTCTCCACACCTTTGGCAGCATCTGAATATTCTTTCCCCAGGCCCCTTCTTTTTCCCTGGCTTTTTGGAGTCACACACTCTCTGAACTTAGGTGACTTCACATCTTGACCCCATTTCCTCATCCATAAATTAAGAGGGTCTCTAAGGTCACATTTAGTTCCAGCATTTTGTGATTTTGAATTGGGGTAACTTGGCTTGGGGAAGAGTGGAGTAGGAGGCAAATACATGTCTCCAGGGATACGCAAGGCAGTGATACATGTTCTCCATCCTTCCTGGCAATCCACTGGGAGGAATGGGCTGGTTGGGGTTGATGGGATCAAGGGTAGATAATGGGGAAGCACCTTCCACCTTGGCAAGGCTATGGAGCTCTCTAAGAAGTGACCAGAGGAGTTGGAGAAATCTTCCTTGGAAGTCTTTGAGAATTATCAGAAAGAGGCCCAAAGCAAGGAAAGGCAATACACAAAATGAGATCTCAAGGCGCCATCCCACTTCAGGTATTTCAAGTGCGTGAGAGAGACGGCTCTTCTTCGGGCTTCTTGCCCAGGGAGTCAGGAAGACGACAGCTCCAGCTCCAGGGACCAATGGGGAGATGCAGTCCTCACGGCATCTCTTACGTGTTCCCTGCCAAATTGATTCAAATTGGCTTGGATATGAACATATGATTAAAGGAATGGCGCGATTCATTTATCAGGAGAGATTAAAGAGCAGCATCTGCGCAGCCTAGCTGGGGGACAATTAAGAAGCAAATCGCTAAGTGCCTATGCCACCAGGCAGCGGGGGATGGGGGAGGCTGGGGTTCGCCAGCACCTTGGCCTTCCGGAGGGAGCCACAGATAGCGAGGAGGCACTACAGGGAGTGAGCACAAGCCAGGCCACTGGCCGTCCCCAGGTCATGACATGCCGTCTCTCATCTTCGGGCCTCCTCACAGGCTCTCCCACCTAAGAAAACCCAACTTCCTTCAAGGACCTGCTCAAGTACCACCTTCTCCACAGAGCCCTTTCTCATCCGTTGGTTAGTGTTCTCCCTGCTTCCCCAAATTACTTTATATAAATTTGGTGCTGACTTCTCACCATAGGTTTCCTTTTGGGTAGAACGTAAGCTCCTTGAGGGCTGACAGTTGTCTTTGCTTTTGCATTTCCACTGACCAGCACAGTGCTTGGCATGATTTTTTTTTTTCATCAGGCCCATGATTTGATCAGTATTGGGAGCTCCCAGTGAGGAAAGTCCCTCTACTGGTGTAGCTCTGCCCTCCCTCTAAACCTTCATGTAGCTTAGAACACTTGCCCAGAGTCACAGCTAATATGTGTCAGGCTGGGGACTTGAACCCAGGTCTTCCTAACTTGGAGGCCAGATCTCTGTGTCACACTGCCTTTACTTGGCACATAGTAGGACCATAGATTTAGACTTGGAAGAGACCTCAGAGTCCAGTGGCCCCTACTTTAAGGAATGAGGACTCAATGCTCATTGAATCATATAGCTGTAGCCTTTTTGTTACTCCCACGGCCACTGCTTATGCTTAAGTGGTTTGACTAATTATGGCATCTTATATGAGCAAAAAGGTACTGGAAAAAGACACATTGTACCCTACTGGGTACACCTAACCTCAAGGTAGTTTTGGCTTTTGTACACAGGGAATCAACCAACTGCCATTTTGCTGTTACCATATGGTTATCATGTAATCCTGGGGACCAAAGTCTCCAAGAACCTAGGAGACAAAGACAGGAAAAAAAATCGTAGAATGTTAAAGCCAGAAGGGACCCCAGGGATCATCTGGTCCCAACCATTTTCCTTGATGAAGTGACTGAGTCCTAGAGAGGCGAGGTGATGACTTGTCCAGAGCCACACAAGTTACTGGCGGAGCAAAGAACTTTACTCCAAGACCCTGAAGACACAACAGATAAAAGATGGGCCTTTGTTGACCATGCGCATACCTGGGCACCTTGACTCTTCAGCTGGTAAAACCAGCCCGGGTTATGTACTCTCTGGTCATGCAGGCCCAGGACCAAGGACGATCTATGAGGTGCTATCAAGAAAGCTCCTCCAACCATTGAACGGCACCCAGGTGAGTCTTTTGTCTCAGGGCTGGGAAGCACTGGTTGGTGCCAATGGAAGAAGGATGGCAGTGTCGCCATTACTGGTTAACACGGCAGACATTCACCTGGCAATCTGGGCTCGATGAGCGTAGGCCCAATTTTGGGCTGAGCCAGGAAATGGCCCAAACTATTTGAAAATGGGAACAAAAGATGTGGCTTCTCAAACCAAATGTTAATGTCTGGCATTGAAGCCGGATGAACTCCTTTGTCTAAGATGGAGAAAAGTTCAACTTCTTTCCCTTCAATCATCGATGGTTTGTCATCACCTCCTTCCATCTGATCAAAAGGAGTCCTCCTAGATCTCTGGTACCCAGTACTTTCAGCCTCTTCTCCAGCCATGTCCCTGAGATCCCTATCCTAACAGCAGACACCAGGTGAAAACTCAGATAAATACTGTGTTCAAATGTTAAGAGATGAAAATTCATGGTCAATAACCGGGGATATGGTAAATTTTTTTGCAGGGGGAGGGGGCTTGGTGTTGGTGAAGGGGAGAAAATGGAATGAGAGGGCAGAGACAAGTTAGTAAAAGACCCTAAGATCATAAATTTAGAATTGGAAGACCTTGGAGGCCATCTGGTCCAGTCCCCTCATTTTACAGAGGAGGAAACTGAGGTGAAGGAAACAGGGAGATGAAATGACTTTCTCAAGGTCATACAGACAGCAAGCGTCAAAGGCAAGATTTAAGCCTGGTCCTCCAATCCCGTGAACGCTCCTGATACTGTACAAAGATGGTGGCTGACATTATCCAACCCATCGCAGCCCATCCATAGTTTCCTTACTGTCTAAAAGTTTGAGACAGGGGTAGACTGGGTCTTCTTTCTGTTTCTGCAAAGTCCAGTCAAGAAATTACAGTGAGAAGGACTGAGGTTCAACTAAAAACAGTATTTTCTATCGGAGAAGGGTTTGGTAATCCCAGAGAAAATGTGAATGTTATCATCTCCTTCCCTGGAGATTTTAAAGAGTGACAGACCTCCCCAGCCTCAGTTAGTTTGAGCTAGGTTAAAGCATGAAGGTAGCAGATGGATGAGATGACTGCCAGATGACCCATCCTGTCAGCTTGAATAGTCTGATGACCTGCCACAGCACCAAATACATGTCTGTAGAGTGAAAAAGCTCCTTGTGTCTTCTATTCCCTCCCATTCCAACCTCATTGTTTCCATACGTCATCCATAACGCCCGCTGAGCGTTAGTCTAAATCATGGGTCTAACTTAGGATCCATCTTCCTGAAAGCCTGTATCCTGACTCAGAGAAACTGCAGGAAATTTGACAGGGTCAGGAGGAAAAGATTTATTTCCATACTGAAAGTAACCAGGGGAAAGAGACGCACAGTCCAAGTGCAAACCGAGAGAGAAGAGAAAGGGACCAGCAGAAGTGGACCAGGCTGTACCACCAGGCATTGCTCTTTGGCCCTTGTGGCCGACCTTTTTATCGAAAGGCTAACCGATGGGGGCTCAGCCCTAGAGAAGGTATGTGGTTAGCATAGTGAAGGAAGAGGGGATGTTCTTTTGGGCAAAGGAGGGGAAGAAGGAGAGGGAGAGAGAGGGAGAGACAGAGGGAGGGAGGGAGGGAGAGGGGAAGGAGGGGAAAAGGGGAGGGAGAGGGAGAGGAGACACACACAAAGGCTCAGAATGTAGGATCAGGGCTTGATGTGGGAGTGCAGGAGACTGGGTCAAAGTGCCTACCCATCCCACAGCACCTAAGATAAACCCAGTCTTCAGTGTTTCTGATCCCAAGCACCCAAGGCAAGTCCTTCCTTTTGCAGAAGGTGTGTTCTTATGCCGTTCTACTGGGACAGAGGAACAAGGAGGGGAGATGGTGGTTTGACTAAGCCTCAAGCCCACGTCCATGGGATGGGTTTCCCTGTGATGCAGTCACTGCACTTACCATACCGTGTATTCACGGCTGTAGGATTTTTCTCTGTGTGTATCCCCATCTATCTATCTAAGCATGTTTCGTCTGCCCACGGGACCCTCTGAGTCCCATCCCATTTACTCTCTCAGAACCTGGCTCCCAAAGCCAGACATGGCTCCCTCCTCTTCAGTTGAACAAATAAGAACTTTCCTCTTTGGCTCAACTGAAGAGCAAAGATGGAAGGCTGATTCTCCATCCCTCCCTCACTGCAGCCTTTCTTTCTGGGGACTCGGCCTTGATAGGGGAAAGGTCTGGTATTTAAATTATAAAATAAAAAAGACAGCAGGCACTGAGAAGAGAAAGCCCTCCCCACCTAGAGGGAAGGATCTGGGGTTGCTCCCTCCAGGGGACAAAGCAACAAAGAACGCCCCAGTGGAGAAGTCCGCCCCAACATAGCTCCCCATACCAGAGGGCTGACAGGGGGCTTCCGATTCGCTTGGCCCCAGGGGAATGTCTGAGCCACGATGTTGCTTTCATTCCGAAGGAGGCAGGCAAGGATTCTAAGTTTTCTCTCTGGACATTCTTCTCCTCTTGCCCTCTCACCATGGCAGGGGTAAGGAGCCACCCACATCCCGGAGGGTCCCCCCTGGAAAGGACTGGAGTGGGGTCTTTCCCATGCAGATCGATGGTATGGGTATGGAGGGCGGGAAGACGTGTGGCCCATCATCCTTCGGGAGAGGGGTGTCAGACCAAAGGCCATGGGCTATGCACTGGAGTCCCCCAGCTTGGCCTCTGTGTCACTGTCGCTCAGGTAGCTGTGAGAGTATCGGGATCGGGTGGCGTGGTCCAGGGGGTCATGCTCGTCATCTGATCGGTCAAGGGCAAAGGACTTCTGGTAGCTGGACGGGCTGCAAGGAGAGAAGAGCACACACTCAATGGGGATGGTCTCAGCCCCTCTGGGGAAGCCCCAAAGCCTCCTTCCAACAGGATCAACTTCTTCTGCCCACCCTGACCAAAGCCCATCCCCAGCATGAGCCAGGGGGCCCCTCACCCAGAGGATAAACCAGCTGATGAAACAGATAATCATTTTTGTCTGGCATTCAGGGCTCATCAAAAACCTGGCTCCTTCCTGCCTTCTTACATTTTATTCCCATCCACGTCCTCCATGATCCAGCTCCATTGGCCCATGTGCTGATCCCCACACGTGATACCCCGTCTCCAGACTCTGGACTTTTACACTTGCTGTCCCCCATACCTAGCATGTTCTCCCTACTCACCTACACTTCTTAGAATCCTTGGTCTCCTTCAGGACTTGGCCCAAATCCCACCTTCTGCAGGTCCTCCCTTAGCTGCTAGTGCCTTCCTCCTCAGATCACCTTCCTTCTACTCTGTGCTTGCCAGGTATTTAGTTAGTTACATGTTATCTCCCACATTAGAATGGAAGCTCCTTGAGGCAGCTAGGTGGTACAGTGCATAGAGCACCAGACCTGGAGTTGGGAGGACCTGAGTTCAAATCTGGCTTGAGACACTTACTAGCTGTGTGACCCTGCGTAAGTCACTAAAAAAAAAAAAAAAGAAAAAAAAAAGGGAATAGAAGCTCCAGGAGGGCAGGGACCTTTCTATTTCTACCACTTAGCACACTGCCTAGCACACAGTAGAGCCCAGAGATAAAATAAAACAACTTCTTGTTGTTTTTGTTGCTGTTCACTTGTTTTCAGTCACGTCCTACTCTTTGTGACCCCATTTGGGGTTTTCATGGCACAGATACTAGAGAGGTTTGCCATTTCTTTCTCTAGATCATTTTACAGATGAGGAACTGAGGCAGTGTTAAGTGACTTGCCCAGGGTCACACAGCAAGTGTCTAATTCCAGATTTGAATTCAAGACCTCCTGACTTCAGGCTCAGTGCTTTCTCCAGCTGCCCTGAAATAACTTGCCTAAGGTCATACAACTAGTAATTATCTGAGGTGGGAGATTAACTTAGGTTCTCTTGACTTCAAACCTGGGCTCATTGTCATTATGTCTTAGTCAGTCAATAAACATTTATTAAATGCCTACTATGTGCCAGGCACTGTGCTAAGCTATCTTATTTGCTCCAGCCCTGTAACCCTGAGCTCCCGTGCCCTGGACCTCACCCCTCCCCACCAGCTTCTGGCTGTGGCTCCTGACGCTTTCACAATACAGAATGACAATTTAGATGAACGGAAGTCCTGTGATCATCACCACATCACACAACGCAAAGATCTCACCTGGGAAGGAGAATATTCAATGGCTCCCTATTGCCTGTAGGATAAAATACAAATTCCTTGGTTTGGCATTTAAAGCTCTCCATCACCTGGCCCTACTTACCTTTCCAGGCTTACCTCATATGACCCCTTTCATATATCTCACGTCCTAGCCAAACTGTCCTCCTACCTGCTCCCTGAACTCAGTGCTCCATCTCCTAATTCTGTGCTTGCAACCCCATGAACACCCTCTTCACCTGTGCCTCTTAGAATTTTTAGCCCCATTCAAGACTCAGTTCAATTGCCACCTCTTCTAGGAGGCCTTTCCTAATTTCCCTCTTTTCATTTCCTCCCATCCTCAAATCATCCTGTGACATAATTGTGTTTATGTACGGAAGTAGAATGTAAGTGTATTGCAGGCAAGAATAGTTTTTCATTTGGTCTTTGAAGCTCCTGGAGCCAGCATGGCACCTTACACACAGTAGGTGTTTAATAAATGTTTAATTGGAGAAGGCAGTTTCCTATTCCCCCTGGCCCTTCCAACTACACCCAAGCAAAATGGCTGATCCTGGGAGATGTGACTCTGCAGAACAATATCATTCATCCATTCATCCAATAAACATTATTGGTACTTAGGTAATCAGGCACTATGCTAGTGCCAAAGTATTCCCATCTAGAGGCACCCCACCTCTTTCTTCTATCCTGGAGACATGAAACCTATTCTGGGCCAGTCAGTGGCTTTCAGCAGAGTACAAGAAAAAGTCAGTCTCCCCTACCAGATCTCTGACCTGGGCCATTGCCCAGTGGGCACAAAGTCTGTCGGGAAAATGTGGAGAATCGAGTATTCTAGTGAATAGAATGAACCATATTCTATGCACGAGCTCCCAGTCTTCAAGGAATTTGAATATGATAAAATATATAAAACAAAGAACACCACCAAAGAGCCACCTTTGATGATTCAGAAGGCACTCTGGGTTCTAATAGCGCCCGAGGGCCACATCTTTCAAACATGAATTATTATAGCCTAGTACTGCATTTTTTAAAAGCTGGGATTCTTAACCTTTGTTGTGTCCTGGACCCCTTAGGTGGCAGTCTGGGGAAGCCTACAGAACCAAGTTTTTAAATGCAGAAAATAAAATACAGAAGATTATAATGAAACCAATTATATCTATGTATAGAGGTATATTTTAAATAGTTTAAAATTCACATTATTTTAAAGTAAGTTCATGGTCTCCATGTTAAGAGACTCTGTTTTATAGCTTTCTAGTTGTCTGGATTCTGCATTAATGAGTTTCCTGGTTTTCAGAAAGACACCCAAAGCTTGCTGATGGTCTGATGCAGGGGTGGGGAACCTGCGGCCTCAAGGCTATATGTGGCCCTCTAGGTCCTCAAGTGCAGACCGCAGGTTCCCCACCCCTGGCTGTGATATGAGATGAGAGAAGCAGGGGCATCTACTGAGAAGAGGCGAAAGAGGGGAGCTGGTCTGGTTTGTGCCCTAAAACGGGAGGCTGGGAGTAAGATCCAAGTGTGAATGGGGTGGGAGTGGGGGGAGCTTAGCTTGTACAAACTGAACTGACCTAAACTAAGGCTCTGGGTTTCCCTCCTTCTCTGGACTTCTGATCTGGAGGCTGTAGCTTCTGCTCCTGTATCCTTAGCGTTATCAGACAGACCTAGAGTCCTAGATTATCTAAACTGTCATTCTGTGCTATAAAAGCAGCCAGAAGCTGGCGGGCCCGGGAGAACAGATGCTAGGTAGTACAGTGGCTAAAGTGCCAGGCCTGGAGTCAGGATGACCCGAGTTCAAATTTGGCCTCAGACATTTACTAGTTGTGTGACCCTGGGCAAGTCAACTTAGCCGCTGTCTGCCTCAGTTTCTTCATCTGTAAAACAGGGGATAATAAAAGCACCGACCTCCCAAGGTTGCTGTGAGGACTAAATGAGATGATAATTGTAAAGTGCTCAGCACAGTGCCTGGCACACAGTAGGGCCTACATAAATGTTAGCTATTATTAAATTCCTCGCCCCTCTGGCCCACTACCTAGGGGATTCTCAAATCGACTTTCCCAGTGTCATGGTGGAGAAGGCCCTTTGGCATCCAGCCGCTGCACCCTTTCCATTCTGAACATTTTAACCAAATTGTTTAAAAAGCCTTCTTCCCAGAGAGCTGAGCCGGCATCTCTCGTTCAGGGCTGTCGAGAACAATTTGGCACACACACTAATTCCTGCTGGAAGAGCCTGTAGTGGCAAGTACCCCTCCCCCCTCCCCTTCGTTGCAGCCTCCGTGCCCTGAATTCTCTCTGGTCTCTGTCACCAGATGGGAAATCAGGCCTCCTTCTCCACCACTCCCCCCGCCAGTTTATCCACCCCCGTGCCGGTGAGGGCCTTGTGCCAACTAGGTTCTGATGGGTTCCCTTCCTGGCTTCCCAGCTAAGTGGTTTGGTTCTGGCCTAACGCTGACTGTACTGATGGGAGACTCCAATTCCCTAAGGTGACAGTGTAAAAGAACTCCAGATCTGCTCCTGTTTACCACGTGAGGAGAAGGGCCTTGGGAAATGTTTCTGAGTTGGCAGGAGAATGGGAATTTTTGGTTACTGATCTCACTGCCCAGGTTATCAAAGGGGACAGGGGGCTCAGAGCTAATGATGCCCATGCCCAGGCCTGACACTGCTCCCCACCCCCAATTCTACCCTTGCAGCTTTGGGTTTACTCCCCAGATGAAAGAAGCACTGGTTTTAGAATCAAAGGACCTGGGTTCAAACCTGTCTCTTCCACTTAGTACCTGTGTGGCCTTGGGTAAGTCATTTAACCTCTATTCACCTGCTACTTCCTTTGAACTGGACTAGATAATCTCTAAGGCTTTAAATGTATGATCTTATCTTGAGAGAGATAGGACCTAGACTTGTGATTTTCATTTGTACAGGGAACTCCTCCTCCCAAGGCATGCTGTCACCTAGGTCATTGAGAAGTGATGTGACTTGCCCAGGGTCACACAGCCAGGATGGGTCAGCGCTGGTAGGTTTGAACTCAGGTCTTCCTGGCTACAAGGCTAGCTCTCGATGTCCTATGTCATGCTTGCCTCACCCTGGTAGCTTTGTAATAATGTAACACTTGGGAGTCAGAAAGTTCTAGTGCAAATCCCACCTCTGACCCCTACCGAGCCAATCACTTGTCCGAGGAAATGCCTAAGACTATAATTTGTAGAGAAGACCCATTGGTAGATGAAATCACAAGTCTGGTTAAAAAAACAAAAAGATGACATAATAATAATAATAATAATGATAATAATAATGTTTACAGTACTTTTTTTGTAGGACATTTTCCATACATTATCTCATTTGATCCATATAACAACCCTGTGATGTAGATGCTATTATTTGACCCATTTGGCAGATGAGGAAACCGAGGCTCAGAAAAACTGAAGAACTTGCCCAAGGTCACGCACATTTACTAAGAGCCTGGAGTGGGATTTGAACCCAGGTATTACTGACTCCAAGTACAGGACTCCACCTACTAAACTCAGGCTGCTTCTGATCCATATGCCAATGGGCATTCAGCGCCAAGAGGGCAAGGTCCATAAGGAGCCCCACTGGGGAAGACGCTTTGCTAGGATGGCAGGCCCGACATTTTGTCTCCTGCTTCTCTCCTGGCATCACGGCTTTGTTCCCTGTGGAGCTGACGGTCTCTCTCTCCCCAGCACTACCAGCCTTCCTGAGTTCTCCCAAGCACCCCCTCCTAACACTGTGCCTCTCAGAAGCAAAGATGAGACAACGAGCATGGACGAGAGCAGAGACTCTTCACCTGGGGTCCGTGAACTTGTTTTTAAAATATGTTTCTATAACTCTTCCAATAGAATTGGTTTCCTTTGTAATGCAGGTATCTCATTTTATGCATTTAAAAACTCTCCTGAGAGGGATCCACAGAATTCATCAGATTGCCAAGTCCTGGACTGAAAGGAGGCTGTGCCAAAGGGCCCCTTCCCCTGGCTTTCAGGGCAGCCCTGGAGAATGGGGAGCAGTCTAAGGGATCTCGAGTATTTGGTTTTGTTCTGGAAGAATCACTGAGTCCCCAGGGCCCCCGGGAAGGCATTAAGGACCTGTTCCATTGTCCCATCCTGACACAGACCCTGAACTCACATGCTGCAAGGTAAGCACATTTTCTCTCGTTATCGTCCTCAAAGGCACCCAACTGGTCACCACTAGATACATCCCAACCAGAATCAGAGGAAGTGTACCATGAACCCACCCTGCTTTTGATCAAACGGGGCTCGCCCACAAACGCACACAGCATGCAGAAAGTGCTTGTTAGTGCATGAGTCCAGATACAAACAGAGGTCTGGAGAGATCCCCGAGGGTCAAGAAGGCCTGGGCTTCTAGATCACAGCTGGCTAGGGAGGGTGTCAATGGGCTCTACTGGAAGCCGTGATTTCCTGCTGAAGTCACCCTTTCTTGTCCTGCCTCTGAAGACAGTGGTGGCTGAAGCTGCCCTCCTTGCTGCCCCCTACCAGGGGACAGGGCAGGAGAGAAAGAAAACAAGCCAGGGAGAGGTGGCCCAGAAAGGCCTTTAGCTAGCCAGGGATAAGGAACATGGAGGAAGCCTCAGCAGATGGGGCAAGACTGTCCAGGGGTCTTCCATCTCAGAGGGAAACAGGAAAACTCAAGTGGTGGGAGGCAAAGGGTCATTATTCAAATTTCCTGCTCAGAAACCCAACAATGAATGCTAAAGCTGGGAAGCAATTGGGAGATTTTATATAAATTTCAAAGGTCCTCAAAGGCCATGAAATCCAGCCCCTTCATTTTACAGAGGGGGAAACTGAGGAAGGGAGGGTGACTTGCCCAAAGTTACATGGGTAGTAAGCATCAGAGATGGGTCTTCTGTGACCACAGCCATGCTTAAGACTAGGGAAAAGGAAGAAACTAAGGCCACTCTTGGGTCAGATGCAAAGGCCGATGGGCTTCAGTTGTGTGGGCCCTGCGTTCCCATTCCAGAGATGGAATAAGCCTGGTTTGGTTTATTTGGCCCCACTGAAGGTGGTGCAATGTCCCCTTGCCATCAGTACCCATGGCAAGAAGCTGATGCATAGAGGAAGGAATAAGTCGGGCAAAGGACAAGATATATTTCACTACCCCTGACATGTCAATGCCCACCTTGGGCATCTGAGCACTCCCTCCCCTGGGGCACAGAAAACCTCTCGCCACTCAAAAAAGCTGCCTGGCACCCAAGGTACCCATGCCATCTCTCTCCTGGCACCAGATGTTGTAACTGTGTGTGCCAAGGGCTGAGAACGATTGCTTAAAATAGCCAGACTTTAGTCTGTAAGAAAGGCCGAGGCAGAAGAGGAGGAGAAGCACAGGGCCCTAGCAGTGAAGACAGGACAGAACTTAGTGGACAGTGAGTCTGATGCCCCCATTTTACAGAGGAGGAAGCCGAGGCCAAGAGTCATAGGAATCCTAGATCTAGAGTGCCGCAGGCCATCGAGTCCTACCCCCTCATTTTACAGGGAAGGAAACTGAGGCACCTCCCGCCGGACAGACGGGAATTCTCTCAGGCCTGCAGAAGACGTGAGTGACTATTAGTAGGTGGGGCTGCGGCGCACCCCGACAGCACACGCATGCTGCTCTCCGCGTGGGAGGCCACCTACTGCATCAGTCGCTCTCGGGCCGGTACAGGTAGCGCATCATCAAGCTGTCCACCTCCTTCTTCCGCTTCTTCTCTTGCTTCTTCTCCTCCTTGGACAGTCTGCCGGCTCGGCCCCCGCCCTCCGAGGCCGGCCCCGCCCCTTCCGGGCCCTTCTTGACGCTGGAGCCGCTGCGGCAGGAGACGGTGGAGCCGCTGGAGGACGAGGACGAGGACGTCTCGGAGGAGGAGGAGGAGGAGGCCGCGGCGGCGCTCTCCTTCCTCTTCTTCCTCTTCTTGGATTTCTTCTTGCTCCTCCGGGAACGGGCCTTACTCCGGTGTTTCCCCTCGGAGGAGTGCTCGGACCCTGAGCTGCTGCTGCTGCTGCTGCTGCTACGGCTCTTCTTCTTGGCCCGGCCCTTGTGTCTGCTCCGTGACCTGGACACGTCAGCGGCCGAGGCCGAGCGGCGGATGGTGGCGGCCCGCTCTGCCCCACCGGCGCCCAGCTGGGCGCTCCGGGCGCTGCGGACGCTCTTGCGGTCATCCTCGTCTGAGTCCGGCTGCAGGCTGCTCCGCTTGAACTCGGTGGGCTTGTAGCTCAAGACCTCCTGGATGGCAGCCTCCAGGTCCGGGTCCAAGTAGGAATGGTGCCTGACAGGGCGGATGACGGAGCCGGCAGGCTCGTCGGAGGCGGCGGTCTGGGGCCGGGGCGGCACCGAGAGGCTGCGGGCCAGCGAGGGGTGGCTATATTGAGAGTGCAGATCGCTCGGAGCTGCGCTGGCTCCGTCGTCCTCCCAGTCATCCAGGCAGCTCCGGCCTAGGGTCGGGCGGGGACTGGGACTCTCCCGCCCGAAGCCAGAGGCCCTGCTCAAGCAAGGGCTGAGGGTGCTGGGGAGGCCCTCCAGCCGGGAGGTGCTTCGGCGTGAGCTGGGAGACCCTGACAGCGAGAAGCTGAAGGACGACCAGGCCTCCTCCTCCCGGGCGTCGCGCCGCGTGGCCGAGGAGGCCCGGCTGACGGGGGCCGAGACGGTGGAGGCCCGATCAAAGTCAGACCCCCACCTTTTCTCCAGCCCCCGGCTCACCCGGCTCCTGACCTCCGAGAGGACAGAGCTGCCGTCGTCCGCATCTTCGGCCTTCTTACCGGGGCTGGCCTGGCCGCCACCTGGGCCTCGGCGGGGCCTCCGTGGGGGCCGCTCGGGGGAGGCCGCCCGCTCACTGAGCGTGGTGAAGAGGGACTCCTCGTCCCCGGTGCCCCCGATGGAGTCCTTGAGGGTGAGCCGCTTTCGGTAGCTCAGGGAGCTCAGGGCAGAGGCTGGCCTCTCCTCCACACCCTTGCCCTCCTTGGGAACTGTGTTGAGAGACAGTCTAAGAGAGAGCCGCGAGGCCCAGAGAAGAGAGCGCCGGGGTGGGCAGATGAAGGAGGAAGAGGGGGAGAGAGACACACAAAAGAACAGGCATTAAACCCGACAATAAAGACCCAGGAGGAGGGAGGGGAGGGGAGAACAGCAGTAGCCCTGGCAAAGGCAGAGGGAGAGCTTCGCAGGAAATGAAGCAAAATAATTTGCGTCAGTGAAAATAGCTTCGCGGAGAATGTCATGTAAATTAGACTATTGTTCTATTCCATCACTTTTCCCCCCTCTAAAACGTTTAGTTCAATTTATTTCATTGTCAACTACCTGGAGCCTCACGCAGCTCCCAGACGGATGGCAGTGGGGCGGGGATGGAGGCATTATCTACAACAACAAAATGTTGCTCGGCCGAATAAATTAAACCAATTAGAGGCGGCCACTGGGCGCTGGTGGTGAGGGGTCCGGATTCAGGAGGGAGTGGAGGAGCCAGGCGGGAAATTGCTTCTGCTCCTCGGCCCAGTTGGCATCACACTAACCCGAGAGCAGCTTATTTTGTGCCCGGTGGGGGTGGAAAAGTTTGGGGCTGGGGGGAGCTGGCAGGGACAGAAGCACGGGGAATATGCCAAACAGCCAGGAGGGGGACAGAGAGCTGCCCCTCTTCTTGGCCGCCACGTTAGGTAGGGAGGCAAGAGACTGCCACTGATCTCCAGGAGAGGGGTGGCAAGAGGACCCACACTCCAGAAAAAGATAGGGAGACTGAAGATGAGTAATAAGCACAGGGAAAAGGGGTAGCAGGGTTCTCCTAAACCCTGGCAGCCGGTTTTAGTGCCTGTTTCAGAAGGAGCTTTTTGGTGTCCAAGATGACCAAGGCATTGGGGCTGACCAGGTGAGGGAGAGGAGAGGAACTGTGAACTCACTGGGGACCTGTTGGCACTGAGAGCCTTTGATTTCATTGCTACTGAAGCCCCAGAAATCCCAAATAACAAGCAAGTGCCGTGGCCTGTGGACCTGGGGCCTTGACTGTGAACTCCTGCCCCCAAGCTCCCCATCCTGGCCCTGGCCCCGAAAGATCACCCTATCAGGTGGTCGCAGATTACGGAAGCCAACCCCATCTCAGACTCAAGGCCTGCCACTGAAACAGGAAAGGGTTAAAGCAAACACACCTGGGGAGAGTAAGACCCAGACTAGGAGGGGACCCTGAATAACCCGGTGCACCCAGTCTCACTGACCCAGGAAAATCCTGGAAAATTCCCACCCTCAGAATCCCTGCGTGACACGTACAAGCATTGTTGAGTCACCGACGTGGGAATGATTCACTCTGCTCAGGCCCCATGGTAAACCCCACTCTCTAGAGCCGGGCAAAGCACCTCCCCCAAGGAGGACTTGGAAAGAGACCCGCTGGCACGTTCCTCGCTGTGACTGTGCGCCCCTGCCCCGCGGTGCCTGCCCCCCCCCCCAGCGGCCCCTCGGCCAGCTGACCGCCGCCGCTCACTCACCTGGAGCTCTTGAGGCTCCCGTCATCTGAAGCAGCCTTGGAAGGCCCCTTGTTTTTTGACAACCAAGACTTGACGCCATCCACCCGATCTTCCAGCTCAGAGTCCACATCGGAGTCGCCCTCACTGCTCGGGCAAGACACAGAGAAACAGACAGGGCCAGGGAAGGAGGGAGGAGAGGAGGTTACGTCACACAGGGTCCGCAAGACAGGCGTGAGGCGGGGGTCAGGGGCGGGGTTGGAGGCATGCTTCTTAGCGGGAGGGGAGGAAACAGGTGGGAAAAGGTGGCAGATTAGAGGCAGCTCACACCATCGGCAGGGGGCCTTGTCTCGCACTTGGCACAGTGCCTGGCACTTAGTAGGTGCTTCATAAATTCTTATTGACTGACCGCCCTCCTTTTGTGTTACACAATTGTATGACCTCCCCAACTCACACCAGAGAAAGACAGATGCCACAGCGGGCGCTGCTTTGCTGGTAGGAAGTAGACTGTGTGTGACCCATTAACAACCCAGGCAGAAGGGAAGCCCAGCAACTAAGCCAGCCTAGGCCCTTTTCTGTGAAAGGGCCATCCTGGGCTCATTCAAATATGGATCTGGGATCAGGGCAGCAGAGACCTGCCCCGCTGGTTCTCGACTGTCCCTTTCCAAGAAGGACGCGGCCCATCTGCCCTTCCCCAAATGCCGTGACTGTGATGCCAATCCTGGGACCACAGCAGAAAAGTCTCCTGGAGCCCTTAAATAGTGGGAAGTCTAGCTAAGCCTGGAGGCCTGCTTGGATTTTGGAAGGGGCTCTCCCGGGCGGAGGCCTCCTACAAGGATAAGGCAGCTCAGGCCACATCCCAAACTTGTTCTTAGCTACAGATAGAATGTAAGCCCCCCTGAGGGCAAGGACTGGCTCACTTCTGTTCCTGTACCCCCAGAGCCTAGTGCCTGGCACAGGACAGTCACTTAACCAATGTCTGGTCATTGATTTCAGGTTACTCTCATTCCAGTAGAGTATAAGCCCCCTTGAGGACAACGACTGGCTCACTTTTGTTTCTGTAACCCTAGTGCCCAGTATAGTGCCTGGCACAGAGTAGGCATTTAATAAATGACTGATTCAAGGTCATCCCCATTCTAGTAGAATGTAAGCCTCTTGAAGGTAGGGATTGTTTCATATTGTCTTGGTATCCCCAGTGCCTGGCACACAGTAGGGGCTGAATGAATACATGTTGACTGGTTGGTTGATTGATGAGGTACTAGAGAAAGGAAGGCCAGGTTTAGGAGCAGGAGAAAACAGCATAACTATTGCCTGAGAGCCTGGGCATACTGTTTAGATTTTCCAGGACACACAGCTATGCCCACAGAGCCCCAGGCTGGGCGCTTGACTTTCCTTCATCCTGCTTGCCACTCCTTGCTCCTATGCCACGGGGTGCCTCCTCCTCCGCCGCCAGGCAGAGGAGTTCTTAGCTTTACCCCCTTCCCATGGAAGCCCAGGGTCTCTAAATTTTGACCTCGGTGTTGACGGATGAAAGCAACCACAGTAAAAAAGCTATAGCCCTGGAGCTTCCTGGTAAGGATTCATCTGCAAGGCTGCTAATGTAATATTCCCCCAGTATAGGCCTGGCCATACTACACCCTTGCTTAGTAAACTCCAATAGTGATGCTACCATCAAACACCCCCCCTTCCCCTGTTTGACATTGAAAAGCCTTCGCAATCCAGCCCCAACCTACCTTTCTAGGCTTATTATACATTGCCCCTCTTCACCCCTGCTAGCTTCCGGCCAAGCTGGCCAACTGACTGCTCCTCACACAGACTCCATCTCTCGCCCCTGCACAGGCTGTGCCCCCGTGTCTGGGATGCAAATCTTCCTCACCTCCACCTCTAGGAATGCCTCATTCCTTCAAAGCCCAGCCGAGGCACCCCCTTCTATAAAAGGCCTTCCCGACCCCCTTTCCCTATCCCTCACTCATCAGGTAATGGTGCCACCTCCCTGAAATAACTTTGTATTTGTTCATGTGTGTTTTGTACATAATTACACGTGCTTATGTTATCTCCACTGATAGCATATTAGCTCCTTGTGGGCAAGGACTGCATTTTTGCCTTTGTATTCCTGTGCCTGGCACATAGTAGGTGCTTAATAAGCGTTTGCTGATTGACTGATTGATAGAGGAAGGAAAAAAACAAGCTTCTGAAATTTAGCTAAAAAATAAAAAATTGCCAGTTCTTCCACATCTCTCTGCTACAGAAATGCTAGGGTTTCTCCTTGTTACAAATTTCCTTTGTGTCACCAGGAGAGGCCCTTCTCTTGAATTATGTTCTTGAATAAATAGCCACACACAGGCACACATGTACATGTACATGCACACTCACACTCACACACACACGCACACACACAAACACTACCCGACGCTCTTATGGGCCCATGTGAGAGCCCAACTCCTGGGAAGGAGGAATAAATAGGTAGGTTTTATGGGCTTCTGTCAAATGCAAAGTTACAGCAAAGATAGGGCCTGCTGAAGCCCTGAGTAAACAGGGTTTAGCAGCAGCCAGCCCAGACCCCTCTAATGCAAGCCATGTGCCCTCCACGCCTGGCAGATTTACAGCAGTGCATGGGCCCCTCGGAACACCAATGCCACCTGATTTATGCATCCGTGTAAAAAAAAAAACCCAACCCCCCCAAACCCTCCCTCTCCCGCTTCAAAGCTCCCTAATTTATCACTGCCGTTCATAACCGTATTGATCACCAGTGCCGAATGCAGGCTGAAACTATGTCTACACGTTAAAAGGATTTCTGTATAAATCTCCCTTAATGCTGCGCTGTTTACTGCTTTCATTAAGGTTATGGCAATAACAACTGTATCTATAAGTAAATCGAAACATTATTTTCCGGCCCGCCTTTCCACGCTCGATAACTCAGCACTGGGGCCCAGAACGGCTCAGGCCAGGCTGGGGCCAGCTCCGGCTCCTCAGCATCATCGAGGCCGCAGCTGGAACCGCTAAGGCATGGGGCTGTTCAGGAGAACCATCTTAAATGCACATTTTATCAGCCTGCCCCACAAAGCTGCTCTCAGACGCCAGGCTGTGGCAGGGACCAGCTCAGCTCGCACGGGAGGCAATTACAGACTCAGAATAAGAATCCTCCTCGTTATACTCCAGGCGGCCAACTGGGGCGCCCAGTGCCCACCCTCTCCTCCTCCTCTGGCGGGAGCGAGGATGCTGTTTGGGCCCTTTCCCTTAAAACAATCAGGGCCGGTAAACAAACTCTGGGGGCAGGCGGGCTCAGGGGGCAGTGGAGTTTTTAAACGGCCAAAATTAAACCTGGAGTCAAACACAATTTATGTCCAGGCTTGCGTGCTATTAGTTAACTGGGAGCCAAATCACGGGGGAACAAACAAACGGAGACAGAATGGCGGGGTATATTAATTGTGTGTGACAAGCGGGCTCCAGCGGCCCTCTATCACTGTTACACACTATTACATTTATCATTAGCTCTTATGGATTTCTTCACTCCTGCCAGCCCATCCTGGCCCTGGGAAGAGCCCTGTGGGGCCAGCAGGAGGAATGGGGGAGGGGGCTCAGGGCCACGCTCGGATCCCACATGAGCCCAGGGATGGAGGCCAGCCAGCCGCTCTCCTGGGCCCGCCATCTCCCTCCTCTCTGCAAAGAGCAAGGAAAAGGGAATGGGCCTGGCTCCCTGGTACAGCCCGACAGATGTGGCCTCGCACGCGCGCGCGCACACACACACACACACAGCTCTCCCAATGCCCAGGATACCCACAGGCAATCCAGTCCCCTCCACCTGGCATTTGTTATCATGCCTCTGTCTTGGGACAGCGGGCTGGTACTTATTTGCATGAATGCTCTCTCCAGACAAGGCCGACGACGTTAGAGTGGCCTCCTATGGCTGCCAAAAGGAGGTAGTGAGACCTTTGGCAAACAGCAGCGCCCTAGCTTCCTCCATTCTGGTTCAGGCCCCAAGTGGGAGTAAAGATTGAGATCAACTCCGCCCCAATCTCTGAACAGAGACTAAGGGACAGAGGCCAGAACTGGGGCTCTTAGCCTGGAGGGTCCATGGCTCCCTAAGGGACCTACAGGAAGATTTCAGGGAGTCCATGAACTTAGATGGGGGCGGGGGGGAATCACATCTTAATTTTCACTCATCTCTCCCTGAAATTTATCATTTCTCTCAATTATTTAAAAAACGTTATTCTGAGAAGGGGTCCGCTAGGTTGATCGGACTGCCCGAGAGGCCCATGACGTGAGAAAGGCTGAGACCCCCTGGGCTGGAGGGGTGGGGGGGTTGGCTGTAACTAGGAGAAGAGACAATCCCGGTGGGGGGGGGGGGGGGAGCTGGAGCCCAGTGAAAGGAAGGCTGTGGACACGTGGTGGAGAGTTCTGCTTGGCAGACTTGGCGGCGCTGGGTCAGCTCTTATGACCCTGTGCTAGGGGGCAGTCTCTGCTCCCCGGGTCGCTTCCGTACCAGAGCAGAGACGACCATCTGACCACCTGCCCCTACCCCCTAGTAACCACTATTTTCTGAGTCCCCTACCCCGAGCGAACTTCTGGGGCCCAGCCCTCCCTGCTCAAGGCTCATTTAGAAGATGTGCTGAGGGGGTGTTAAAAGTTAGAGGCTCGACAAAGAAGGCGAGATGTGTGCCCACATGCTGCATGCAGCGGCGTGCCCCCCCCCCCCAGGGGTGGGGGGATAACATGGAGTCAAAGGTTAGAAGACGCCACACAACAGAGACAGAGAATGCAGATGCTTTGGTCCTCACAGCTTAGTCTTTCTTTTCTGATACTTTGTCACCATGTCCTGCAAACTGGAAATGGGAAAAAAATAAAAAATAAAGGCAAAGGTGGGCCTGAGGACGAGGGTGGACAAATCAACAGCCGAGTGGAAAGGAGAGGGGAGGAGGGGGCTCGAGGTGGGGAGAGGGAGAGAGGGGGCTGCCCTGCTGCTGCCATCCCCTGGACCTGCCTTTGGCTGGTTTGCAGTTAGGGGACCTGAATTCAAAACCAGGTTCCATCACTAAATACTTAGGGACCTTGGGGAAGTTGCTTTACCTCCCTAGGCCTCAGTTTCCTCATCTGAGGGGACTGGACTGAGTGGCCTCGGGGGTCCCTACCAGCTCTCCAGCTGTGATCTCATCACAATGCCACCTTCTGCCAGAGGTTGTGCCCTTTCATTCCTGCCCATACAGGGTGACCTGGCAGGTGCCGCTGGGCCCTGGCTCACTGGGCAAGAGGGAAGAACCCCTTTGGGCTATGGAAACGGGAGGCTGAGTGGGACAAGAAAATTGGAGAATTTCTGAGGGGGGAGAAAGGCCCAGTCTGAGAGAACAGTGCGGCTGGCCCCTCGCCCCACAGCGTCCCATCCTCCAGCCTCCAGATTCCTCAGCCTGAGACTACAAATCTGTCTCAGCTAAACCGTTCCCTGGGTGGGTTTTATGAGAGGAAATCGCTGGCACAGTAACGAGGCGCCGGGCCCTTAAATCTCTGCTCTCCCCGGCCTGGGACAGGCGCCATCGGAAACACGGCTAAACAGGGGAATAACTCATCCTGAGCAGGCTGAGAGCCGGGAGGGAGCGGGGAGCACTGTAGGATGGGGAACGGGGTGCGAGGGTGGGAGAGGGCTGAAAGGGACGCTCACCCTGGCAGCTTCTCTGGAAGAGGCAATGGAGGACAGAGGAAAGGATGTGGAATCGAATTTTTGGCTGGGTTAAAAATCTTAGCTCTACCCGTGGGGGAACCAGGGGCAAGTCACTTTAACCTTGCTGAGCTCTCAGTTTCTCTATCTGTGAAATGGACCAGCTGGCCCCAAGGTCCCTTTGAGACCTAGGCTACGATCTCACAGTCAGTCCGAGGACAACGGGCTTCCCAGGTTCGTGACCAGGGCCTGGCACCCAGTGTGGAGGATGGAATGGGGAGCGGGTGATAACTTGCCTCCTTTTCTCTACAGCCTGACCCTAGAGGATGGAGGATGGAGGAGGCCCCACATGGCCCGAGTCTCTGCCTCTCATCCTCTGGCGCCCGGGCCCAGGTCCCCTCCCACATACCTGTTAATGAGCTCCTCATTGTCATCGCTTTCCATCTCGTCCTCGATGGCGGCCTGCAGGTCCCCAATGCGCTTGAAGGCCAGCTTCAGGTCTGCCTGCAGGCTCTGGTTGGCTGCTTCCAGGCTCTCCAGGTCCATCTCCTAGGGAGGGCACAGCCGCCAACCATTTTGTGGGAGAGGATCCCAGCCCCTGGGCTGACACCCCCTCCTGCCCTGATCCATCCATGGCACGGTACCACCAGCCCAACGACAACTCAATGGGAGCCCTCCTGCGTGCTCGATAGAACACCCTTTAAAGGACCCCAGGCCACACTTGTGGGTTTGAGTGCTCCTCTGCCGGGAGGCAACAGCTGAGCCCTCCCTCTCCTGTACCTGACTTAGGCCCAGTAAGACCATCCGGACCCTCTCTCCCGTCCAACAAAGCTGGCTCCCCCGCCACACACGCCCACCCCTTGCTCTGCAGGGGCAGTCCCCCTGCCTCGTAGAGTGCAGTGGGGAGAAGGCTGGTTTAGGAGAGGCCCACACGCCCACCCCCTGCTTTGCAGGGTCAGTCCCTACCAGTGCAGCAGGGAGAAGGCTGTTTTAGGAGAGGCCCACACACCACCCCCTGCTTTGCAGGGTCAGTCCCTACCAGGTGCGGCGAGGAGAAGAGGCCCCCCCGGGGGCCCCTCCAGCTATGGGTTGCCGTGGTGACCGGGAGGATGCCACCAGGGCACCTCTACCGCGGACCGCTGTCCCCACCCTCCCCGGGCCAGCTGGACAGTTACCAGCTCGTGCTTCTTGCGGCTGGCCTCGGCCTCCTTTTTGGCCAGCTCTCCCATCTCCTCCTTGGTGTCACGAAGCTGCCGCTGGAGACGCTTGTTTTGCTCTCTCTCCCGGCCCTCCGCGGCACTGCGTTGATCGCGCTCCTCCGTCAGCTTCTCCATGTTTTCCTTCAGCCGGCCGGCCAGGTTCTGTAGAGGACAGAGAAGGAAGGCAGGGAAAGTGGGCTGAGGGCCGGGAGGGGGAGTGGGGCCTTCCGTGAGGGGAGATGCCCACCTCGGAGGGTCACAGGCCTGGGTGGGACCTCAAAGGTTCCTCTGTGTCCACACAGGGCGGCGTCTAAACCACCTCCAACTCTTGGCAATCTTGTAACAATTGGTTAGTAAGTCAACCAGGCTTACTATGTCCCAGGCGCGTCATTAAGTGCCGGGGTTCAAAGAAAGGCTAAAGCAGCACCTGCCCTCAAGGGGCTTACAGTCAAAGGGGGGACACAACATTAAGCAGTCACATACACACAAGGTATACACAGAGAGGGGGAGGAACTAGCAGCTGGGGGGCACTGGGAGAGGCCTCTGCAAAAGGTGGGATTTGAGAGGAGCCTTGAAGGAAGCCAGGGAATCCAAGAGAGGAAGGAGGATAGAGAGCATTCCAGATATGGGACATGGCCTGGAGGTGGGAAACGAGCTAAAGAGAGGGAGGCAGCATGGGGGCACGGGCGGGCAATGGAAAGCACCCTTGAGTGAGAGTGCAAGCAGCCATGGTTTGGTCCTTGCTCTGCCTTTAACTAGTTGTGTGACCTTGAGTAAGTCACGTCCCCTTTTCTAAGCCTCCTTTTTCTCCTCTGTAAAATGGGAAGGGTTGAACTAGATGACCTCAAAGGTCCTTCCCAGTGCTAACATTCTAAGTTTCAAGTCAATGCATTGCTTTTCTAGATAGAAATATGAGTGAAGGACAGAGCAAGGGGAGGAAAATGATGAGGCAGGAGACGGGGGGTCAACTTTCCTAGCGGACTGGCAGTCACGTACATGGGCCACGAATTGGAATCCTGGCTCAGCCACTTCCTTGCTGCCTGTATGACCCCCAGATCCTCCTCTGTGAAATGAGGGGGTTGAACAAGATGGGCCCAGAGCTGGGCTCCTGAGGCCCACCACCCTTCCACCAGCCACGGAAAGGGGAACAAGAGAAGGCCGGACCAAACCAACCTGCTTGGAGTCTGAGCTCAGAATCTGCAGCTGTCAATGAGGCACAGCAACCCTGACTTCCCACAGGAGGGGCACTGAGGCCCTCTGTGCCCCCAGCCCCAATTCTGAAGATCATCCTCCCCTCACCCTTTTGCTGAGGGAAGCCAGGGATGAGACCAGGAGGCCATGCCAGGCAGCAATGACAGTCCTAGGGTCTGGCTGAGATAGAGCTAAGATCCTCAGCAAGGCCTTAGGGCGCGGGGGTGGAGGGGTGGCCTGACATGAGGGGAGGGGGGAGCAGCAGCCAGCCCTCCTCCCACAGAGAGCCTCTCCCCAGCCCTGGTGTGGAAGAGCAAGGGGGCTGGAGCACAAAGGACTGAAGGGGGTCCATAGTGAACAGTCTGGGGTGAAGAGGGACAGAAAGAAAGAAGGGAGAGGAGAAAGAAGGAAGAAAGAGAGAGGGAGGGAGGGGGAGAAAGGAGAGAGGGGGAG